GAGAGAGAGAGAGAGAGAGAGAGAGAGAGAGACAGAGACAGAAAATTATCCAAATAGTGAAAACCTGTTAAAAGTTTATTTGTTTCGGAAAGTGTTTTACAGCGCTCGCAACTGCATAAGGTCATATGAACCCACTTACAAAAGGAGACTTGAAGCTGAGCGTTGCTGCAATAGTCAGGGCAGAGTCCAGACACCGGAAGATGGCGCCAAACAGCATGAGTTTACCGATCCTGACAGGAATAAAAAAAACAAAGTTTGGTTTTTTTTTAAAACACTGAATGATATTCCTACTGAATATATAGAAGCAAAATAACAGCAGTGCCTTACAATGCAAACAAAAGATGTCACTGAATATTAATGTACCTGACATAGTAACAGAACAATGTTAATCAATATAAATATATCTGACTCAGGAAATCAACAATTTAAACCAATGTACCCAGCGTTGTGAAAGTATAATGTTACCATCAATTACATATGATAGAACAAATTAAATAAAAGACGTCAATCAATTAAATAAATGTACTTGACACAGAAAATAAATATCTCAATAGATATAAATGAACCTGACAAAGTAAATAAATAATTTCTCAACATAAATGGTCGCTTTTAAGCACAAGGGGGCTATCCCGAAAAATGCTGTTTTGAGAAAATCGAAGATAAAGTCTTTGCCCCTTGTTCAGTTTCTTTAAAAGACAGGGAAAGTTTTCTCTATAACCAAACAAATCTACACACCAAAGAAACCAAACTTCTCCTATAGGAAGGACAATGCCCACTTTTGGTGTTGGTAAAGATTTCCGGAAACCACAGAAATCTGGGTTAGCTCGCTTGTCCTTAAAAGCGACCAAATGTATTTGACATAAAAAAGATATTATGTCAATATGAACTGTACATAATGTTGTGATACATCAATATATAAATGTACAAGATTGTAAGAGTATTATGTCAACAACTGCACCAGACATAGCAAAAGCCTTATGTTAACAACTTGACAGTGAAAAAGTATTATTTAACAACTATACCTGAGAAGCAAATAGTCATAGTGTTATGTTAGTTTTAGTTTTAGTAGAGGTTTTACGGCGCTCGCAACTGCATAAGGTCATATGAGCACCAGAAGATAGAGGTGTTACAAGAGAGTAACAAACATAAAAAAGAAGGAGGGGAGATAAGAATGATAGATGTTTGATAGGAAAGAAGAAGCAAACCACTCCAGAGCACCCGCCAACCACCCACATAGGGTTATGTGAACAACTGTACCTGACAGTAAAATTGTTATGTTACCAACTGTACCTGACATAGCAAAAGTATTCACTTAAACAACCGTACCTGACATCTACAGGCAGAGATCCCAGATGGTAGCCCAAAGGAGTCAGATCCTGAAGAAGAAAAAATCCCATAGAAGCCAAAATATGAGATATTGTTTTAGTAGAGGTTTTACGGCACTCGCAACTGCATACGGTCATATGAGCGCCAAGGGGTGGATGTCAACAGAGAAGTTCTTACAGGGAATCAGACTTACTCTGCTCACCTCTCTAGCTTCAACAGGACAGAGTCTGCTTCGACTATCAAGGCACCCCGGAAATAGCGGGTCACAAGAGTGTGACAAACATACAAGAGAAGTAGAGGAAAATGACTATAGTAAGGATGAGGAAAGAAAAAGCAACAGTTCCCTGTTGTAGTTCAGGCACAATTATGAGCATGACATTGTTGGATCAGCCCATTTACAATTAGAATTAGAAATGTCCCCCTTTGGGAATGGCCTAAAGACACTTCGGTCTGTACACAACACAATGACAAACAACAATCTTATTCATCTCGCAGGGAGAAATTTGTCACGGTCATTTACAATGGCAGTGGATGTTACAAAAGTTAGGAGCACTCACACATACCACAAATAGGAAGGTCATCAAATATGTGTATTACACAAACACACACACTCTCTCTCTATCTCTCTCTGTCTCTCTCTTTCTGTCTGTCTGTCTGTCTGTCTGTCTGTCTGTCTGTCTGTATGTCTGTCTGTCTGTCTGTCTCTCTCTCTCTCTTTCTGTCTCTCTCTATCTCTCTTTGTCTCTCTCTCTGTCTGTCTGTCTGTCTGTCTGTCTGTCTGTCTGTCTGTCTGTCTGTCTGTCTGTCTCTCTCTCTCTCTTTTTTTTTTTTTTTTTTGTTTCATTTGTAGCACTGCGAGTTCAGTAACCTCACTGTTGTTGGAACAAAATAAGACATGAAACCAAAAATATTTAAAACAAAATTGACATAAAACCTAAGATAAATTAAGACAGAAACCACAAACTCAAAAAAAAACAAAATAGATATAAAATGCCAAAATCTGACAAATGTACAAGGAAAGAGCCAGAAACCTAAACTATAACAAAGTAAGACTCAAAGGCAAAACCTAAAACAACATAAGATTTCTATTTTTTCCTCTCCCCCCTCTCTCTCCCTCTCCCTCTCTCTCTCCCTCTCTCTCTCCCTCTCTCTTTTTTTTCTTCCTCCTTCCCTCTCTCTCTTACTCTCTCTCACTCTCTCTGTCTCTTCCTTCCCCCTTCCCTATATGTCTCTTTGTGCTCCCTCTCTCCCTTCTTTCTGTGTCTGTCCGTCTCTCTCTCAGTGTCCCTCACTCCTTCCTTCACCCTCCCACCCTCCCTCCCACTCTTTCCCTCCCTCCTCCCACTTCCTTCTTCCCACTCCCCCTCTCACCTCCTGTTTGTCCAAAGCCTCCAGGTCGCGTAGACAAGACAAGTCCCTCCTCTCCTTCCTCCCTTTCCCTCCTCCCTCTCTCCTCTCCCTCCTCCCCTCTCACCTCCTGTTTGTCCAAAGCCCCCAGGTCGCGTAGACGAGACAGGGCCCCTTGCACCGCCTCCTCACTTGGACTCTCCACCAGCTGGGACAAAACGTCCTGCAAACAAAAAAAAGTCTACCGTTTTACACCCCCATCAATACGGTAAAGGTCACTGGGTGAGAAGACAGGTTGCCTCAATCGTTGCTGTCAGGGCCAACCCATGCTGAAAGAGACTCAAAGTCACAGTAGACAGATAGAGATATTCAATGGAAGAGAAAAAAAGTGGTCTCAACCGGGAATTGAACTCATGACTTCAGCATGTGAAGGGGAGGAGCCTAACCACTACACCACAGACACTAACTAGTAACACTTTGCTGCTGACAGTAAGGTCAGGATAACTGCGTAAAGGGATAATTTGACGTTTCACACGCCGTGAAAGCTTTCAGTGTGTTTGTGTAGTTGTGGCTGTGTGTTTGTGTGTTTGTGTTTTTGTGTGCTTGCAGTGTGTTTGTGTAGTTGTGTGTTTGCAGTGTGTTTGTGTAGTTGTGGTTGAGTGGCAGTGTGTTTGTGTAGTTGTGTGCTTGCAGTGTGTTTGTGAAGTTGTGGTTGAGAGGCAGTGTGTTTGTGAAGTTGTGGTTGAGAGGCAGTGTGTTTGTGAAGTTGTGTGCTTGCAGTGTGTTTGTGAAGTTGTGGTTGAGAGGCAGTGTGTTTGTGAAGTTGTGGTTGAGAGGCTGTGTGTTTGTGTAGTTGTGTGCTTGCAGTGTGTTTGTGTAGTTGTGTGCTTGCAGTGTGTTTGTGTAGTTGTGGTTGAGTGGCTGTGTGTTTGTGTAGTTGTGTGCTTGCAGTGTGTTTGTGTAGTTGTGTGCTCGCAGTGTGTTTGTGTAGTTGTGGTTGAGTGGCTGTGTGTTTGCGTAGTTGTGTGCTTGCAGTGTGTTTGTGTAGTTGTGTGCTTGCAGTGTGTTTGTGTAGTTGTGTGCTTGCAGTGTGTTTGTGTAGTTGTGGTTGAGTGGCTGTGTGTTTGCGTAGTTGTGTGCTTGCAGTGTGTTTGTGTAGTTGTGTGCTTGCAGTGTGTTTGTGTAGTTGTGGTTGAGTGGCTGTGTGTTTGCGTAGTTGAGGTTGTGTGGCTGTGTGTTTGCGTAGTTGAGCGCGTGTGTTTGGGAAGCTGTTAACGTGCAGTGTGTTTGCGTAGTTGTGTGCGTGTGTTTGCGTGTTTCTGTGCTTGTGTGTTTGTGTAGTTGTGTCGCTATGTGCATGTGTGCTTGCAGTGTGTTCGTGTAGTTATGTAGCTGTAGTTGTGTAGTTGTGTGTGTGTGCTTGTGTGTTTCTGTGCTTGTGTGTTTGTGTAGCTGTGTGCGTGTGTGCTTGCAATGTGTTTGTGTAGCTGTGGTTGTGTGTTTGAGTAGTTGTGGTTGAGTGGCTGTGTAGTTGTGTAGCTGTGTGCATGTGTGCTTGCAATGTGTTTGTGTAGTTGTGGTTGAGTGGCTGCGTAGTTGTGTAGCTGTGTGCGTGTGTGCTTGCAATGTGTTTGTGTAGTTGTGGTTGAGTGGCTGTGTAGTTGTGTAGCTGTGTGCGTGTGTGCTTGCAATGTGTTTGTGTAGTTGTGTTAATGTAGCTGTGTGCTTGTAGTGTGTTTGTGCATTTGTGAATTTGTGCGGCATTTAATGATAATCATAATAAAATGCATGAGTATAGTACATCCCATTCAACAGAAAGCCAAATGCACTTAACAATCTACATTATTACCCTAGCATACCCTAAACCATTGAGAAATATTCCTAGATTCCTGAGTAGCATGCAGCGCAAGCATCTGATTAACCCTTAGAGCATGAGAAACCCTCTGACCGGGCCGGGACTTTATCGATGCGTAGCCCGATAAACCTGTTCACCTTTCTGGGAGTCACGCGGATCCAAGTGAGCCTGAGCCAGGGCCTACTGCTAGACTTAAATGTGTGTGAAAAAAAGTATTCACTGGCTCTAGATGTGAGGGAGGCAACTCTAAATAGTTTCTGTGTGGATATTTTGTTATTGAGAGTGACCTATTTGTTGTCTGGTCTATTTGTGGTGACCCATGTGAAATTTCCATCAAATGGCCGGGCACGGGGTATTCTAGGTTCTACAGAGTCAGGGTTCAAAGGGTGAAGCACTCAAACACTAAAAAAAACTGACGAGATCTTTTGCTGTCTATAGCCAGGTACCCATTCCACCTGGGTGAAGTAAGAGAAATTCACATGTTTTTCCCAAAGGCACAATGTTGGGGCCCCTGATGGGGTTTGAGCCCGCGACCGGTCAGTTGTGAGCCCAACTGCCTAACAAGTAGACCGCCAGTGCCACAGTGGTTGTGTGTGTGTGCTTGTGAAGTTGGTGAATGTTAGTGTGTGTGTGTGTGTATATGCGTGTGTGCGCGCGCGTGTGTGTGCGTGTGTGTGTGTATGTGTGTATGGTATATTGTGCTAGTGTATGTGCAATGTGTATATGGTTGGTTGTGTGTTTGCAGTTGGAGGTGTGCTTTTGTATAGTTCTGGTCATATGGTTGTGTATAGTTCTGGTCATATGGTTGTGTATAGTTCTGGTCATATGGTTGTGTATAGTTCTGGTCATATGGTT